TGCGTAACGTAGGACAATTCTTGATTATTGTTGAAACAAATATAATTATCTATATGTGTTGCGATAATGCTGCGTTGTCCGGTAAGAAGGACACAGGTGTTTTCAACTCCTAATCTATTATCATCTACCTGAATGTCGTTTATAAATATCATGTTTCCACAGGAATACTTTTAATTCACTCCAACTGATTCATTATGAAGTTTAATCAATGTTAATTTCCTGTACACCGTGACATAAACGACTGTGCGAACACTGGTGCAAAATGCTGTCCAATCGGTGGATATATGTCAAGTAGTTTATCCATCTATTGATTGGTATTTAAGTTTACACATATTCCGGTGGATAGTGTGACGAAATAAGAGAGCTATTTTAAAGACGATGGAATTTGGGCATGAATATTCAGGGTACAATTTCAGTGTCTAATCATTTATGTTCAGTCAGTTTAAACTGTTTGACAATTGCTGGTCAACTGCATTCACGTGACCTGCGTGTGTTAGTGTTACACCATCTTCTGTTTAGTAGAAGTGATATTCGGCTGGCTATCGACCAAAGGAAGTGTCGTGTGTACGGCTCAACAGTTCGCACTGTCCTCCTTGATGGCTGGCTATGAGATACAACCGTTGAAAGTGGAAGATACTAAAAGCTGTCTTTGATCATAAGTGTCCCCGTTATATCTCTCGTGTTAAATGGTATAATAAGGTGAGCAATATTAAAGTTAGACATTGTTCTGATGCTAGATAAGTGGGAGGGGAAATTGATCGAAGAGATTGTAAATTTACGTCGACTGAGATCGTTAGGACATGAGTTACGTACGCCGACGGGATATGTTAAACGAGATAGGATCAGGTTGGAAAAGAGAGGACCAGTGGCGGGCAAAACAAAACTTGACTTCACTGGTCAATGAAGTTAGGGAAAGCCACATAGGGAGGAGTAGACTGATCTGACTGACTGTTTGAGGTCCTCGGCATGGAAAGAGCAGGTGAAGGCTGTAAACAATTAGTGATATTGACTGGCTCAAAATCCTCGTTGTCAATAACTGGCGCAGATGCATTCGCTCTTTTGACAGTCACATCCAGTAAAACTCTATTGTTGTTCTTCCGTATTACTATCATTTTGCCTCACTCACACTTCTGTGAATTATCTCACTTTTGCTGAATCTCCCTGTACTGTCTTTTCTTGCCTTGTGTAATACATGGAAGCAGTGTGGCAACTGGAACTGCTGTACATCTGTGCAAATTTCCACGTTGAAACCATTTTGTCAGTCACTCTTTACAATTTTAGTTCAACCCTATTCAGCACCACCAGTAATGTTTCTCTCAGTTTCCTGACCTTATTTTCCCTAAGTCCCTATCGAATTAACTTTTCTGCATAAGATGACTTTCTTGAAAATAACATTACCGTTAACTGAAATTCTTAGCTGAACTCTACTTTTTTTATATACCAATAGGCTTCAGAGAAGAAACTAGTTTTCAAAACTCTGATATAAGAACTAAACAAGTTCCTCAGATTTCAACTATTAACTTACCTTTAACAAACCTACTTCAAAATGTGAGTCTTGAAAGTATATGCAGTGCTTTTTTCATTCCTGGGTTTCTGAATGGAATGCAAGACTTTGAACTTTGACATTTGATACTGTTTTAACCCCAAGAGCTTTAAGGCCTTTTCCAGACATCCTGCTGGCTGATAAACTAGGTGGACTAAGAGTACATCTGCCAGGGGTCGAGACTCGAACCATGTACGCGCCTGAGAAGCTTTCGGTGACTGAATCAATGCTACACATATCTGCTGTTATAATCCCTTATAAAAAGTGCTATAACTAGCAGCTAATTATACGGGAAGGTATTTCCTTATAACACTGTATGCTAAAATATTTGCATTCAAGATATTCTTATGAGGAAAGTATGGAAAGTCGTGACCAGTAGGGTGCAGCAGTTCGGGTGTGAGGACAAATACTCGCCGAAGACATTGGCTAGTGGTCGCGTTATGTCGTGAATTGGCAGAATTCAGAGTTCAAGGACCATTGGATGCGGTCCCAGTGGCTTAATGGTATACGAGCTCGCCTTGTAACCGGAAGGTGCTGGGTGCGAATCCCGGTGGGTGCGCACTGCTGAAGAAGCCCAAACTAGGACAATGGAAGCAGCTGTCCAGTACTCCCAGCCTGTTTTCCAATGGTTCTCTAACTAATGTCAGCTCATGATGAAATCCAAAAATAAAGCTTGTTTTATTTTTGAAGTATGCCGATAACAATTTTTCAGGGATATTTCTTATAATCCCTTGCATATTAATCATTTCTCAGCTAAGACGGAAGAAATAGTAGCTATCTAGACACTAAATTCACTGTGGTGAGTAAGTATTTTCTCTAACTGTCTTGTGAATAATTTTTTTTCCTTTACGTTCCCCAGTGGAACATAGGGCACCTTCAAGCTAGTGGCTTGAAGTTTCTGTAGCAAAGTTTATTTTACGGGATGAGGTTGCTAGCCTCATGCCCAACCTTTCCTCTTTACCAGGATTATTTCTGGCTTAGCGAGGTACAGGAGTGCGTAGGTGGCCGGGAATTGAACCCCAGACCATGCGTATGGTCGGCAAGCGTCCTAACCGCTATGCCACCGACGCACTCTTGTGAATAATTAATACACTTCAAAACGTTCCATTCAGATATGAAAATGGCGGAAAATATCAAACGCAGAGTCATATTACATAATACAGGAGTAATCAGAATTTATCTGGACAAGCTAAATGCATGTTTATTCAAAATATATCCTCAAAATCCTCCTCTACTTACCGTAACTCTTTTCAAATTATCCCTGTAACCACTTAGTAGCATTATTACTGTGATTAGTTTATTTCAACCTCTTGGTGTCCATGCGTAATGACTGATAAATTCCAACTTCCATTTTTATTAATTATCATTATTCTCTTTTCAGGTACTAGGTTTGTAGGGATTTTGTTTTACTGGTTGCAGGACTTCCTTATGAACGCCAGCCTGAAAGAACTGGACAGCTGTTTCGTTCCGCCTAATTTTGGACTCCTCATCAGTGCGCACACACCATAGGCGGTTCGAACCCAGAACCTTCTTATTACAAGGCGAACAAAATGCCTAAAAAATCAATACTTGAAAACTGATCTGATGCTCGTTAGCAACTGATCGTAATGAGGCAGTTACCTGGAGTGCTAGTGACAAGTCATGACCAGTAGGCAACAAAACGTTGCAGGTGAGGACAGTAACTCATCGAAGAAGACAACGAGAAATGGTTGTACTATATCGTGAATTAGTAGAAGTCGGAATTCACGGGCTGACCATTGGATTCAGTTCCAGTGGCTTAATGGTCTACGAGCTCGCCTTGTAACCAGAAAGTCCTGAGTTTGAAACATTGCAGTGGATGCGTATCGCTGAAGATTCCCAAATGGGGTTGGACGAAACAGACGTCCAGTACTCACAGGTATTCCAATGGTTCTGTAAATGATATCATTATCCTATAAATTGGTAATTATGTAATAACCTCTTGCTAGCTACGACAGATTTAAACCATTTATTTCCATTTAAGAACTTAGACAACAAAATAAGAAGACGTAGTGTATGTGAAGCATATTTCGGATGATTTTAAAGATGGTTGAGATATTAAGTGGTTATATCTCTTACAAAAGTTTTCTATTACCAGTGTCCATATTTTATTTAAAAGAGTTACTGCTTCTATGTACTAACAATGTTAAGTTTAGATTTCAGGACAAGCATTTCTATCAGGTCGATGGTGTTGATCTATGGGAAGCTCCTTAGGCTTGTAGTTACCTGATAATATACGTGTCGCATGCCAAGAACCTACCTAGCTGAGGACGTAATTCGAAGAGTTGATTTTTATAAGACATACATGGATGACATAATGGTAGTCATTTGTGATAAATCGACAGATACCATAGAAATCCTTAACCAGATTAACAGAGTACGAAACAGCATATCGTCAACATACATGAAAGTGAATAATGATCGCTTGCCATTTTTAGATGTGCTCATTATTCACCGACATGATGGGTCAGTAAGATGATTTGTCGTGACACGCCACATTTCTGAGTAATGCATAAGAAGTGACTGAGTGATTTCGTATATGTGTTTAAAATCCGGTTCTAGATCTTTAAGCCTCTAAGTGCGGATGATTTCCAAACTGGTTTTAGATTGTTGGAGGCATATCTTGCCTTTCCGATTCTGGCTGGCTGGCTGGCTGGATTTGACATCTTCATCTATTCTGTTGGCCTGTGGTTGGAGCCGTGTTTCTTAGATAAGTGAATTAATTGACCTATGTCCAATCTCTCCCGTTAATAGTGATTAGTGCTGCTTGTTGTTGTTGCTATTGGTTGATATTGATTGGTTGTCTTCAGCACCTCATTTCCTTTTCACATAATCTCCTCCATGTCATCCAAAGGCTGGTGCTCACCTCGTCATTCCTCAGCGTCATTTAGCGGCCTCCTCATCGAATGCCTACTCCATATCCATTTCCTTCGAATTATTTACTAGTCCTAAAATAAATCATTCTATCGATCAGTAACACTAACACAACTGAGAAAATAGGAATCCCATCATTCACTCCATATGAATCTACAGTCCAATACACACCAAAAAAAACTTGTAAAACTAACCACCTGTAAAGCAAGCAAACAAACAAACTAACCGAATATATTTCCAGCACCACAATCCACTTTATTATACAACAGACATTATTAACAATGCAAACCTTTAATTTGGTGTAGTCACTTTATCCCTGATCTTACATATATGCACACAGATATTTATCACAATGTTGAAAGAAGAAACCCAGTAGAAACTTACAAGAGTTGAAAAAAAGCTCTATTTTATGTTTACTTAGCAGTGGAAAATAACAGATAAGTGACTGTATTCAGTAGTTTATTGCTTGAGTAGTAAGTAGATAGTGTAAAGTGATTGACATAGTATAGGCTATAAATTAAAATTACATGAATACTTGACTATATATTCTATAAGATATTTTCATATGATAACTACTGGTAAGCATGGTGTATTTTAACTAATTTATTTTTTATTATTATAATTATTACGGTTATATTATGTAATTATTCTTCTTCTCTTGGGTTCTGAGTTCCAAAGAGAGAGAGAGAGAGTTCCAGCAGTACATCGGCATTTATACCCGGTTCCCTCTGAGCTACGTCCAAGACTTCACTCGTTTACTCTTAGAGTTTTAGTCGATAGCCTTCCTGACGCATGATTTCACACCTCAGCAGTCTTCTTGGCGTATGCCTCATCCACCTCAGTTTTCATTTCCATTCTTTGCCTGTTGCCAGAATTCCCTGTGACTTATCATTTCTAGTCATCTAAGTTTACGTAATAAATACCATATTAGTTTGTTTATTAGATATATCACGCACACAGTGAAACAGTATTATTTACTGAATGACCTTTCAAACAAAATTCATCACTGCTCATAATCATATCATTTATAATCACACGACTTAGAAGCTTAAGTTTTATAGTTTTCTTTATTCTCTACTATTTGTCGTCGTTAGGGTAGTAGAATTTTCCAGATATCCGACTGGACAGGTGTTGAATCATTCCCATTGCATGAATATGCAGTTGATTCGATAAACAAAACTTCAACTGTTACCAACCTCTCCCTCTACCCTGTGACGTCAGATTTTAAAAGTGTCATTCTAACCTATCCTATAGTATGGTTGTGTGTAATTGCATGTCGTGCTTGCCATAGCCGAACTATTCTCCATATTTTTTATCTTATTCAGGTCAACTAATCTAAATTTTGGTGTTAGGCTTTTATGCTCGTTTAGTCTTACTGCTCCTGTTCTACTACTTTGCCCTATATATTTGACCTGGTAATCATCTCAGGCAGGGTATTAGAGAAACTAAATTGTATTGTTTTAAAGGCTCCACAGGATTGATCCTTCAACCGACAAAGCTTGTTTCTAATTGAGTTTTCTGGTTTGAATACCGACCATTTTTTTCTGCCTTGTTTTGTTTATCAAATCAATTGCAAATACATGTAATGGGAATGATTCAACACCATCACCAGATATCTGGAAAATTCTATTCCCACGCCTACAACGACAAATAGGAGAGAATAGAGAAAACTATAAAACTCAAGTTTCAAAGTCATGTGATTATAATTGATTGATATGATTATGAACAGCAATAAATTGTGTTCGAAACGTCATCCAGTAAATAATACCGTTTCAATCTCTGTGTGATACATCTAATACACAAACTAATACGGAATTACTTGCTACCACAGTGCCCAAGTTTTACACTTACGTAATAAACTTAACATTCCATTAAAACACAAATTATGAAGTTATTATTAGTTTCTGTGAAGTTAGAAATTCTTTAGTGTTAGAAACATAACCATGTTTATCATATTTTGCTAAGAGACTGAGAAAGTGATACATAGGATCCCGAATGCCGAGTGGCATTGGATTTACTGCAAAATATGACGGCCTATGACTTTGTTTTGTGAGTCGATGGTATAGCGGTTAGGACGCTCGCCGACCATGCACATGTTCCGGGGTTAGATCACCGGTCGGCACACTCCTTTACCTCACTTGTGCATTAATAAGACTGGTAAAGAGGAAAGGTTGGGCATGAGGCTAGCAACCGAATCCTATAAAAATAAACACTACTACGGAAACTTCAAGCCTCCAGCTTGAAGCCCTATGTTCCGCTGGGGAATGTGAAGGAAAAAATGGCTTTGCTTTAAAATTTGTTGTGTTTACACACCAGTGGAAACTCCTCCTTTGTTATTTTCATAACGAAGGCTGCTAATGAGTTGAGATCTCAAGAATTATTTATATAATGATTATTTGTAGATAAATCGGTCACTTCTAACCGAGGTAGATAATTTGCCTCAATTTGTCAAAAATAAGTTTCAAATTTAAGGTGTTATTTTTTAGGTATTTGAATGTTTTCAGGTTTTGATCATAAACTGATTTCATTTAAGGAAATATTAAAAGCCAGGTAGTGCTGGACAGCTGTGTCTGTCGTTATAACTTTGCAGCTCTCCGCCACTACGCATTCGTGACACCACCAACTATTTCATACAAGACTTTCAGGTTACTGGGTGGGGTCGTCGACCAATTAGCCATTAAGATAGAATCCAGTGACCACCATTTTTAGCACCCAGCAATTTGTGACCGCCACCCAAAGTCATCGATGAGCACTCCCCTTCAAACTCGACTTGGTGGACCACTATGGTCACGACTTCTCACCAGAACCTTAGTGAAACTGACCGTGTAGTCAGTCACCAGTGAGAAGCTGCGACATGTGACGCCAGACGAGTTTATTAAGGCAAATACCCGTCATTCACATTGGCTAGTGCTCGCGCTGTATCTCGTACATTTCAAATTTGTTGTAAATTCAAAGGACACTATCGTAGCTGGAATGAAATTTACTTCAAATGTGGTTGCACAAGTAACGTTTCAGGTAAGCCAAAATAAAATGAGGCTGGCAAAACACATAAATTCCCCTATGTTGTTTTAAAAGTATGCTGATATATACTCGGACTTATTTATCAGAGTGCCGTTTGTAAACGGAGTTGTTCTTATTATTGGTCCTTTTAATTCCTAGCAGAAACTATCGCTTCAGGAGTAAATTGTCATTTTACTGAGCTCTCTGTAACCATTCATAGATGGTTCCACTATTGCCTATATGCTTACATTTCCTCTTTACACGATACGTTGAATTTCATCTATGGTCTGACAAGTAACACGACGATTTCTCATGGGATTTCAGTCGAGAACGTGGCGTATGATTTCACCCAGTAGTCTTCTTAGCGTAAATGGATTTAACAATTAGAAATTTCAGAAATTATGGTCAAAGAGAAAGCAAACTTTTGTATTCACCTAACCTTGCACATCATCTACCTTTCGTAAGGGTTTTTAGGAACTCGAATCCCAATATTTGAAAATTACCCTTTTACCACAATTATGTAATTTGTGAAGGCGTAGACCATTCTGCAGTTGTTTGGGTTCGGACACATCAAGACAAATCATGGTGCTAATACTCTACGTTTATATAAGCGGATTAATACTATAATATTGTCCTATATTTTAATGAAATTAGTTCTGTGAATGATTTGAAGCGTTCTCCAGTCATCCTGAAAGAATCTATTCAAGTTAGATAGCGTCAGGCCTTAGAAACAGTTAGCATAATCACACCACATAACAGTAGAGTCATTAATTCTGCACCTGCGGTGACAGTTATGTCGGCCATACTACTACTAAACAGCTTAGCCAACGTGTCAGTAAACATCTCCCATCGTGGAGGTTTGGCAAAAGACAGACAAAAACAATCCGTAGCTGAATTTTGTCACATTTAATTGATTGTGGTCATGTAGTGGAGAAAACGAAAGCCTTCAAAGTAATTCATCGTGTCCTACCGAATAATTTCAGTAGACTACGTATTCGTCTACTACACGCAATCTGTGAGGCATTCAAACTATTAAGTCTAACTATGCATTCAAAAGAAGTTCGTACAGCAATTATCCTTTCCTTGTTGGCCTATTAATGGGATAACCAACTAATGACTTCTACACCACCCCCTTACTTACATTTTCAACCACTATCTTATCATTCCATTAACCTTATCACATCTTCATTAAAAAGGTGTCTCATTTCCCTCCCTTACAATCTAACATTACTTAATCAGTTCATTTGTTTTTACTAGCCTTTATCGACTACTTCCACCTGAATATTTGTTTGTTTAATCATGCTGTTTTTCATTATTCGTGTTATCACAGATTGCCTCACTTTTTCATCCTTATTATTGATAAGACCATTATTATTATCGTTACTACTATTATGACTCATTGCACAATTTCTATTCACCATCGTATTATCCTATAGACAAAACACCATGATTCGTTTATATTTGAATTTTTATTTGTAAAGTTATGTAGGTATATTAGAGTTAAACCAGATGAGATCTAATTGAAAGCAAAATATTGTTTGCTTAAATGTGTTGTTCTAAATTACTTCTTCTTTCGACAAGCTAAAATCATGATGTCTCACTTCATTATTATTATTATTGTATCCTTTAGTTCCTAGAGGAACATAGGGCTTCAGCTGCGCACCTCCATTGACTTCGGTTTTCTGACAACTTTTTCACCCTGCTCCAGGTCTGTCCACATGCTTTCATCTCCTCCTCGCATGACCTCCTCCAAGTCACCCTTGGACGACCAACTCGCCGCCTCCCTTTCGGGTTCCACTCGAGGGCTTGTCTAGTGATGTCACTTGATGGTTTCCTCAGCGTATGGCCAATCCATCTCCATTTCTTTCTGCCTATTTGTTTCACAATCGGTTCCTGATTGGTTCGCTCCCAGAGATCCCTGTTGCTGATCTTTTCTGGCCATCTGATCTTGAGTATTGAGCGGAGACAGTTGTTAATGAAGGTTTGAAGTTTGTTTGAGATGCTCTTTATGACTCGCCAAGTCTCTGATCCGTATAGTAGCACTGACTTCACATTGGAGTTGAAAATCCGGATCTTATTTTTGATGCTGATTGCTGTTGACCTCCACACAGATTTGAGAGTAATGAAAGCTTGTCTTGCTTTTCCGATTCTGGCTTTGATGTCCTCGTCAGTTCCGCCTGTAGTTGAGACGATGCTTCCCAGGTAGGTGAAGGAGGTTGTTTCTTTCAGGTTCTTCCCATTTATGCTTATTGTGGTCTGTTGTTGTTGTTGATGTTGGCTAGGAATCTTCATCATCTCTGTTTTATCTATGTTCACGTGAAGTCCTATCTTTGATGCTTCTTCTGCCAACTTGTTACTTTTCACTTGCATATCTTCCAGTTTATGGGAAATCAGACATATATCATCGGCGAAATCCAGATCCTCCAAGTCTTTTGTGTCAGTCCATTTTATGCCTGTTCCCTCGTTGGTTGCCGTTGTCTGTCGCATTATCCAATCAATTGCAATCAGGAAGATCATTGGTGATAGTAGACAGCCTTGCCTCACTCCCGTCCTCACTTCGAAGGCTTCCGTAAGTTTC